TTAAGAGTCAAAAATTTTTGAATTCATTGAAAGTCGAAGCCACTCCCCACTTCAGCCTGTTCCAGTTTTGTTGCCTGTGATACGGAAGGGAAACCCAGACACTTTCCTCTCTGTCTCTCTGCCTATTCTCCTCTTCCCCTTCCTACCACTCTCTGGGCTGCTCCTAGCTCCTCTGGGGCTAATGCATGGAAGGGAGAAGCTAGCAAGAGAGGCAGCAGCAGGAAAAAAATTCAATGGGCAGCATGGTGGGCTAGTGTCTCTTCTAGTTATGGAGACATGCAAAGCTGACATTTTCTCATAGTGGGTTCTTTGGCGATCTCACTCCCATCGTCCCTGGAGATCTCTCACATCCAGCTGGCACCTTAAAACCCACCCCCTTTGAGCCCCTCATTTTCAAATTGTCTGCCTCCAGACAGAGGTGACCCATTGTTGGCAGCCCACTGCCCTGTAGATAGCCCTTTGGGGGGGTTGGGATATTTGAGACAGCTCCGGGCCAGCTTCCTCTCCTAACCGATCCACTGCAAGTCTGTGGGCCACACCACAGCTTCCTCCCTGCACCCCTCCCTGCGCTCTCCAGGCCACTTAACCAGCCCCTCGCCCTCTAGCCTGCTCCAGCCTGAATCAGACACCCCTGCCCATTGTACCCCAAATTCTAAGGGTCACCAATCAAGGTCCTGAGTGGTTTCCCTGAAGCCCTTGTCACTATGCTTAAAGCAAGTGGAAACACTCCCCATCCTCTCCCCAGAGTCACCACACTGACAACTTTCTCCAAAAAATACTTTGCCTAATTTCCATCTTTCTCCAGCTGAACTCCTAGCCTTTTGTCGTGGAGCCCGGAGGTGGGCAGTGAGCAAGTGTGGCAGCACCAGCTCTCACCTACCCCCGCTAAAGTCCTGCGTTAGTGGCACTTGCCCCTCACTTTGGAATGGAGACAATCTCCACTTATTTTCTGTTCTTTTTTCTTTCAAGGGCTTAAGTGAAAGTGAGACAACGAAAGGAGGAAGGGAGAGAAAGAAAGGTGGTAAGGAGTGAGGGAAAGAAAAAGTCCCATTTTAGCATGATTATCGCAATGGGACCTAAGAGAACGACTTCCTTGTCAATAGGTTCTGACCCACTTATTTTCACTATTAGCTCACTTTCCTCCTTTGTTTTCTACTGTCCATTACAATACAATAGCGTGCCATAAAATTGTGGTCTATTGTGCAAAAACAGCTAGAAAGACACCCCAAAAATGAAATCGCATATGGATATTGAGAAAAATGTTACTTTCACCATAGATCATGTGAAGCATCACTTGATGCATATACATAATGTAATATTCATTAAAAGAGAAAAGATACAAATTTTTCTATTTCTGATTCCTAGGCCGAGATTATGAAAAGGATAAAGTCTGCAAGGAGATCACCAGTCTGGGAAAGGATGACTTCACATCTTTGTAAGTATGCGGTATCCACTCACTCACTCTCTTGGTTGCTTGATCTTGAACAGAAATGGGTGTGAGGTAACTGGGCTTCAGCACAGGGGGTTAAATTGACTTTTGCTAAGATTTTAGAGTTCCAGGATCAGTGTAGGTAGAAGTGTCAGGCAAATGGAGTAAATCCAAAGATTCCAGTTGACCTGTAGTTACTGTGGTGTAAGAATTTGTCACCGGTAAGTTTGTGAATGCGTTAAGACAGAGTAAGTAAGCAGAGTTTTCTAAAGTAAATAAAAATTCAATAGTACTTTCTAGGACTCTGGCAAACAAAGGCAATAAGTTACAAGACAGGTTCATCTGGGGAAGCTCAAGAAAGACAATACCAGACTAGTTTGATGCAACCCCAAGTCCAATTTTTACTGCTTTATGAGATAAATTTGCCTAGAACAAAAACAACCTTTAAAATATACCTCATTTTTTCACTGGCCAGATAAGGAAGTAAATGCATGCAATGTTCCATTTAATGATACAGATTTCATATTTTAGTGTGCCAAAATGTGAAAGATATTTTAATTCTAATTACTAAATTGACTTATTTTCCCCCTCAGATCACTAGTCCTATATAGCAGAAAATTTCCCAGTGGCACATTCGAACAAGTCAGTCAGCTTGTGAAGGAAGTTGTCTCCCTGACCGAAGCCTGCTGTGCGGAAGGGGCTGACCCCGACTGCTACGACACCAGGGTACGTCAATGTGACTGTCTGTCTCTACGGTGGCCCAGAGAAGGAAGCCAAAATATGTCATGTCTTGGGGAAATTTTAGATAGCAACTCCTAGTTTAGGGGCAACATGAAGCCTATTATTTTTTACAGCCCAGGTTTGTTCTAAATAATGAGTCAATTTTGCCCATTATTTCTACAAGATTCTACTGGGTCATGTAGTAACTTAGTGATTTACTAAATATACATTGCTGGTAAGAAGTGGGGATAGCATAGAAATCCAGATCTGACTAAAACCTGAGTTTTTTTTATCATTACAAATTTGAACCTCTCAAATATCAACTCATGAACCTCTTGAATTAATTCTAATATATGCTGTGTAGTTTAAAAGCCTGCCCATACCTTTATCATCATGCTAGGACTGGTACCAACTGCCCCAGAAAAATTTAATGTTGGCTTCAAATTATTTGGGGGTTCAAAAGTTGCCCTATGTACTAAGTTCTAGGTTTTCTCACCTATAGTACTTATTCAGAAATTAAAATGCTGAAATAACAGGGTTTGAAATATAGACAGTAGCTGAAAAAGGTAGAATCTCGGGAGCTTCGGTAATTTACGAATGTAGTCATCAGGCCGGATGAAAATGACATTTGGATGCATTTTAATAAAGTCCTCTACAAACAAATCAGTCTCACTGCTCAAGCCTGCAGCAGTTACCCTACAGAAACAATACTCCAAAGATCTGATTAGAATAGATTCTACTTGGTGAATATTCTTACCATTGATTGCTTTATCTAGCCCTTATCTCATCTCAGAAATATATTTTGTATTATAAAGTAAGAATTTTATTATAAGATTATAAAATAGGAATTTTATCATCATTTTCTTCCACCAGCATGTTCATAAATACCTGTTATTTGAACTTGACCTTCCGCACCACCTTAAACTAAGCAAGCATCAAACTATCAACTGTGGTCAAAATAGCAAAGCATATTTTCATTTTACTTCATATATTTGCTAATGATCTGTATCTATAATCCTGGTGTTTAGGAGAATAGAAATATCATTGACATTTTTTGCATGACACCCTCTCTTTCTCCTGCTTATCAAAGCATTTTTGAAATATGTTGACACTTTTTCAACCTCTTTTTATTTGAAAGGAGATAATTTTTAAAAGGAAATGCAGAAAGATTGACAGGGAAAGAAAAGAAAAGGAAAAAGAAATTGGCTAAAAAAAAAAAAAAAGAGATAAGGATGAAAAAAAGAGAAAGCCTAATGCTTAAGTTCTGAGAATCTGAAGGAAGTTAGGTATAGAAGAGGAAAAGAAGTTGGTTTGCATATCTAATTCATCGCATTACCTTTATTCATTGATTGGAAAGATTTTTAGAAGTTTTGCCTTAAAAAAATGACTAATGGGGGAGGGGCAGGATGGCTGACTAGAGATATCATTGGCCGGACCGTCCCAGAGGACAGGTAGTGATTCAGATAAAGGAGAGGGGAGAGAAGACACAGCTCAGGTGTAGATCACAGAGAGACGTGCTGGAGCCTGCTGGGGACCTCACATGGAGGAAAATTGTGAAGCAGAGAAGGAAGAAGATAAAAGAAAAACGTACTGGTGAGAATCAAACAGAGAGAGGCTTGGAGCCCATTGAAGGGGGTAGGGGGGATCCTTCTCTCCCACCCACATGGCTTCAGTAACCAAGTTTCTTGGAGGCTTTTCCATCCCCATGAGCCCAAACACTGTGGCAAACATGGAATAGTGGGGAGAACTTGCATGATCCCAGAGCTTGGATATCCCGTGCTGGGTTCCCTTCCAAGGAAAGTGACCTGAGAGGCCCCAGAGCTGGTTTTCTTGCATTCAGACACTTTTCCTCCCCCATCCCTCCCCCATCCCCTGCAGCCGGGAAGGTAGCTTAGAGCCAAGAGTTTGGCCAGCGGCAGCCGGGAAATGCAGCCATCTGGGAAAGTGCCCATCCCCACCATAGGAGAACCACCCTGTTGGATTAGGGTGGGTCCTCTGGCCAAGGAAGAGCCCAGACCCTGGAGTCATAGCAACCAAGTGTGACATATTTAGGTGCTCAAGCTGAACAAGAACCGCAGCCCCTCCCTCATCCATGGCTACCCGGAAAGCAGTTTGAGCTGAGAATTTGGCCAGCAGCCGCCTCTTTCCAGCTGACACATAATCCAGGGTGAGGTCTCCAGAGAGAGTAGGGCCCATGCCTCTTCCATAGAGGAGCTGCAGTGGTCCCAGAGTGCCCAATCTGGGAGCTCCCTGCCTATAGGGATTTGGCAGGGATGCACACCATCATGTCAAATGTGCAGACCAAACCCCATGCCCCCACCCCAAACTGGAATGGGTTGCTGGGAGACATGGGGGGAGGTTTAAGAGTGGTGAGGGAGCCCATGTGGACAGAGCTGATGGGAAAATACCAAGACCTGGGAGAGTACCCACCAGGAAAGCCCCCCTGCAGGAAAGCCACCCTGTTGGACAAGGGTGGTTTCTCTGGCAGGGAAGATCCCAGACCAGTGCCACAGCATCCAAGCAATCTGCCCTCCCCCATGAATAGCCCTCAGGGTCTGGAGAGCCTGCCCTGACTTTCCTCCCAGTGGCTCACCCTAGCAGCCAGAGAAGCAACCTCTGAACCCTGCCAAGACTTTCAAAGCCTTCCAGGCTCATGCAATGTAACCATGCTCTGCCTTGCTCCTCCACCTACCTTTTCTGTGATGGAGATAACAGAACCCCATGGGAGCTACAGAGCCCCTCCCAAAGCCTGGGGCATTCAAGTGCTCCACCTTAGGGACTAGAGTTTACCACAGACACAATGAGCACCCCAAGGGCAGCTCAGGACCAATATGCTTCTCCCTGGCATGGTCAGCGATTGATTTTCAGGAACCAGAGGAAAGGTCCACAGGCCAGATATCATAGTCCCAGATCTCAACTGTGTTGCTGGGGGGACTGGAGAGGAGATTTGTGAACTAGATTCTAACCCACAAGCACTACCTACTGTCTCAGAGATTAAACTGGGTGTAACACCAATTCACAATGTTAAGAAGACTGCAGGGCTGAGAAAAGAGAAAGGATTTCAAAGACCTCCATCCTCCTTCATCAAAGAGAGACAGTCACATAGCTCACCACTCCTACAGCCTACAAACAACTAACAACTGAGAAAACCACCGCACTAAGGATATCTATAACTAAGGCATCCATCCAGAACCTAGATCACCATCAAAGCATCCGCAAGCAAAGTCAAAGGGGATTGAGGCCCCTTCTTCAGTCTTCTTAAACAGGACAACTGCCAGCCTAGAATTTTATATCCTGCAAAACTAAGTTTCATATATGAAGGAGAATTAAAAACTTTTCCAGACAATCAATCACTGAAGGAATTTGTCAAGACCAGACCTGCCCTGCAGGAAATGTTCAGAACTGCATTATACATGCATTATACACTGCATTATACCTAACATGTTATGAACACACATGTATGAGTGATGGAAGGAGAAAAAACCCTATCTAAACAAAAGAAAATCCAAAAATAAGAGCAATAGCTGCTCCTAATTAGAAGAAATCAACAAAAGAACTCCAGAACTATGAAGAATCAAAGTGAAAGGACACTCCCTAAAGAGAACAATACCAATGGATACCAATCAAAATGAAAATATTCAAATCACAGATAAAGAATTCCAAATATTGATTGTAAGGAAGTTGAATGAAATCCAAGAGAAAATGGAAAACCAATGCAAAAAAACCAGAAAACCAATTAAGAAAATGAATGAAAAATTCTCTAGAGAGGTCAACATATTTTTAAAAAAACAGATAGAACTTCTGAAAATGAAAAATTCATTTAAGAAAATATAAAACATAGTGGAAAGTTTGTAGAATAGACCAGACCAGGCAGAAGAAAGAATCTCAGAGCTCAAAGACAACTCTTTTGAATTAAATCAATCAGTCAGAAATAAAGAACAGAGAATTAAGAGGAATAAACAAAGCCATATTTCTTGTAAGAAATATGCAATTATGTAAAATGGCCAAACATAAGAATCATAGGCATCCCTGAGGTTAAAGAAGAAAACACAAAAGGGCTGGAAAACCTATTTGAGAGAATAATTCAGGAAAACTGCCCTGTCTTGCCAGAGATTTAGACATCCCAGTGCAAGAAGCTCAACGAACACCTGACAGATTTCATTGCAAGGAGGCAATCACCAAGATACGTAGTCATCAGACTGGCCAAAGTCAACACAAAGGAGGAACTCCTGCAACCTATAAGGCAAAAACATCAAGTAAGTTACAAAGGAAAACCCATCAAGCTAACTGCAGACTTCTCAGTGGAATTCTTATAAGCCAGAAGGGATTGAGGCCCCTTCTTCAGTCTTCTTAAACAGGACAACTGCCAGCCTAGAATTTTATATCCTGCAAAACTAAGTTTCATATATGAAGGAGAATTAAAAACTTTTCCAGACAATCAATCACTGAAGGAATTTGTCAAGACCAGACCTGCCCTGCAGGAAATGTTCAGAACTGCATTATACATGCAATAGGACAATATCATCCACGAGAGTAAAACCATCTAAAAGCTAAAGTTCAGAGCTCATATAAAGCAGTAGTACAACAGATAAAACAAAGCAATAAGGTGCTTCCCAACAGGATGAACAGAACAGCATCCCACATATCAATTCTATCAATCAACATGAGTGGTTTGAATTTCCCACACAAGAGACACAGGCTGGCTGAATGGATAAAAAAATACAAGC